GCGGTCGACACTTACCATCAGGTGACCAGCATGCTCTTTTGCCACCAAAAACAGCGAATGTTTTAATTTTTATTAAAATTAATTTTTATTATTCCCTAACTAAAATATTACTTAGGGAATAAAACTATATTATTATGCATATTATTGCATATTACAAATAAACATATTAAAATAACACTTAACGCGCTCGACTTATAGATTAAAATAGCATAGTAACATTTTTAAAATTATTATGCATGAACTCCACACATAATGCGTTGATGCGCTTCACAACTTCAAATGATAATAATATTTCCAACCACCTTGACATATAAGAGAGGTTAGAATTTAGTATAGCGTAAATATCGCTAGTTGGTTTCTGGAAAAATCTTTATATATAAAAATTACGTGTCACATTGTTTGTCCGCGATGAACTCCTAAACTACAGAACTGATTTCAATGAAATTTCGCACACTGTGCAGTTTGGTCCAACTTGAGGGATACTTTTTATCCCAATAAGTGACCTTCAATATTTTTTATTGCGAATTTAAGGTTTTTTTATAGGAAGCGTCGTTGGAAAGGGCAGAACAATATCTGCCTGGCCAGCTAGTATAATTATAATTAAATGAAACTGATGTTCACTACGGCCTTGCTTTATTTATGTTTACAGTCTGTGTAACTTAATAGCATTTTGGTAACCTAACTCAGTCATCAGCGATTTGTTTTAATTGCTTAGAAAATATTATTATACAAATGTGACAATATGCAATGAGTCTATATGACATGTGGATGCTATTATAAAAAGAGACTATTATATTATATTAGTAATAATAATATTATTTTTTGAAAGATTATATATTTTTCATTTATACGATATCTGTAATGAATAATATTCATTAAATGATATAAATTTTACGGATTTTTTTTTAAATTTTAACTTCGTAATCTCTGACTTTTCGGGTGCTTGGTCACTGGTCACGGGGGAACTGAGGTGTTTGACGTTCCGATGTCATAATTAGCCCAATTACCTTCAGTTTTAAAATATTAATTTATGGTCCGATCTACGCAGAACGAGCTAAAGCTCAACACACAAGATTAGTTTGAACCGATCAGTTAAAATAGATGTAAGCCAAAACGATTTCCTCGCTCACTGGCTTCAAGTTTCAACGTAAGATTTCACACTCACGGTCAGTTTTGGATGTATGTACATCAGTTCAACTGATCAGTTTAACTGACCATGCGCCCGGAAAAATCCGTGGGTTGCAGCCAGTTAAAATTTCAACTTAAGATTTTACTCTCACGGTTAGTTTTTGGATCTACTTAAGTTCAAACAATCAGTTTATCTGACCATGTGTGTCGGTCGTTACAGTATCTTGAATTCTTGCAATTGTATGTCTGGGTTTGGATTTAATTTTATTAATTATAGGATGCGAAGTGGATGGTAGGTAGCACCTAACCATCTTATCCCTTTTTTTAAATTTCAATAGCCTCGCGAATCATCCTTGGTAGGAATCGGTGTACTTTTGCGAAGATTTGTGCTCTATCCAAATCTAATGTAATGGCGGGGACGATCTTGAACATGTTCACAGACTGCAGACTTCCCGGATGGTCGGTTCTTCACGTCAACTATATGATCTTTTACTCGGGTTTTATAGATCTTTTTGCTTGTCCTATATCATTTGGTTTAAAAACATAATTTAGGCTAATTACATACGTAATACGAAACTGTATTATATTATAGGGTGTAATTTTTAAAAGTTTTTCTATAAGATATTGTACTATAAACAAAAATGCTAAGAACAACACGGCCACCGCAAGCAAAATTGTAACACTAACATCTTAATATTAGGTGCCAGTGCAAAATAGTAGGAACTACTACTAACTATAACATTATATGTATAAGGGTAATTTATATCTTTAAGGGTCTATGTTTAGTCGGGATATGATCTCGGGTTTCCTATGCAGATTTAAATTTTTACGTATGGTTTTTTTATCACGAATCTTCTGTCATCTTCTTCACTTATCAAGTGGTCAATTTAATATACAGGGTTATTTTGCAATAACCGGCCAGATTATCAGAGAAGGCTTAGAATAAGTAATGGTGGTAAATTGTGAAGAAGAAATTTAAAAATCTCAAACCTTCTGTCCTTTGCGTTATTTTATTTGATTTTACTGCGCACGCACAAATCCGTATTAGTAAATCAGGTAGACAAAAACGGCAAAAACGTTGTAGCTCATAAATCACATACAATTTGGGATAATTTGAAATAAAAGTGGAAGCCTTATTTAGTCGTATTTTAAAAACTGCAATAAGGGTATATCATTATTTATATATTTAAACTTAAGTTAAAAATTTGTTTACTCTTTGAAAAATAACCCTGTACATAATATACATTTCAAAAGTGATTTTGACGTTAAGAAGTTACTTTTGGGTAAATAGACAAAAGAAATATTTTTGAGTCAAGAAACTTCTTTTTGAACAATACTAGATATAAACTTTTTCTATATATAATAATGGTGATTAACGAGCATACAGTCCAGCTAAGCGCTACCTAAACCTACATCCATCCTCGATTATTATCTATACACTCATTAATGAAACACGGAGCATTAAGATCCCATTTCTCGCTAGTATTCTGTGAGAGCGTAGTCCTTTCTCGTGCTACAACCAGCGTGGCTGGTATAATGAATCTTGCGTACATGATGTTACAGCCTCTTCTTATAGATTTGATTATAGTAATATATGAATTTCAATTTGATATCCGCTAGATAGATTAAAAATAACCACTGCATGGATGATGTAATTATTAAGTCACACTTTATGTATAGACACAAACCGGTGATTTGCGAATTTGGTTTCCTTGAAAATATGTTTGAGGTAAAACTTGTTAATTAAAACCTTCCTTTTTCTGAAGAGCTTTAATATTATTGGTTGTTTTATTATTTATGTTGCGTTCGTAGAATTTGGATAAGAGGAATTTATATGACAGATGACTTTTTAATTATTGTCTTTTATAATTATTAAGTTTTTTTTTTTTTTTTTTTGAGAGGTTAACAATTATTTAAATTATAAGTAATTTATTTACATTACATTAAAAGAAACATAATTCATTAGTATAAAAGGAGCTAAAACTAAAATTTTTAATTAGCATACAGTTCTACTCCCCATGGTATCGTGTCAAGAACGTTAGCTACGTTTCCTCGCTGAATGACTATACTTAGCCTTTGTGCGAGAAAAGATCTAGCCCTAATATCACCAGCGGCGACATTAGTGTAAGATAATGTTTTTGTCAATTCGGTAGGCGCTAGTGGATTGTAGGTTGGGATATCTCATGGAACAATGTTTAATTTAAGAGTTATAATAGTTTTCTCGGTCTGGAGTTTTGTCCAAGTGCAATTTATGTATTAGAGATTTCCGCGACTTCTTTTAAAATTATAGTAATATGTGTATTAACACGAATTATTTGTAGTAATTTAATTTCTGCGGCTAATACATAATAATTAAAAGTCATTAAAGCGATACATCCACCCTTTGATAGAAACTTCTACAATTATTTTTTATACGTGGTTAGAGCCATGCTGCAGCTACGAATGGGTCGGCTCGACCGGGGAGGGACCACACTCTCACAGAATACCATCGTAAAATAGCAGCTTGATGCTGCTGTGTTTCGTATGGTGAGTGTAGAGAACCGGAGACCCTTTTTACTGGAAAAGAGGTATTCTATCTTAGTCCTCACGGCTGACAACGCATCTGTATTTTAATTCGCACACGAAGATAGATGTAGATGTCTATGGGCCACAGCAACCACTTACCATCAAGTGGATTGTGTGCTCGTTTGTTACCCTTATTCTATAAAAAAAATACACATGGCTATTTTGCAATAGCCAGCCAAATTTGCAGAGAAGGTACAGAATAAGTAATATAGGCAAACGGTGAAGAAAAATCAATTAAAACAATCTCAGACATTCTGTCCTTTTTATCTTTTAAATTCAAAATGCATGGTAATGCATTATTTAAACTGATTTTACTGCACATGCACACATTTGTAAGGGTCGATCGGTAGGCAAAAACGTAGTTATCCATAAGTCAAATTCAATTTGGGATAATTTCAAATGAAAGTAGAAGGTTTATTTACTCGGATTACCAAATCTGCAATAACGGTATATCATTATTTATATATTTGAAATTAAGTATAAACGCTTGCGTTTTTAACACCTCACAGAAGGGCTATAGAGAGTTTCTAGATTTCATTGTAATCGAGAGTATGGAAACTGTCAGCAAAGATAGAAGAAGACAACTGCTACCAATTTCAAGCAAAGAAGGCACAAAAGGGAAGTTTAGTTCCTAGTAGATTGCCTCATCGGGCAATATTTGCAATAGATGCTGTACTTGGTAGGCGATTATTTAATATTTTAAGTAGTCAGGAATATGCTGCTGACCATTTCCTTCCGCCGCCTCTACTGGTCGTATATAATATATATATATATATATATATATATATATATATATATATATATACAGTGGTAAATATAAAAATATAGATTTGTAATTATGTGACACTTATTTAGATTGATGTGGTAGGTAATTACTGAAATAGGACCCGCAAAGGAATGAGAGAAAACCTTTATCCAGCAGGTTTTTTGAAATAATACATATGTATTGAATGTTAATAAGTGTTATGGAATAGTCTATATAAAGAAAAATATTATTTTCCATTTTATTCTTGAAAAAATGTTTAGTAATATGTATTTATCTCGGCTGTGAATGACGTACGATATTACTGATAATTTTATTAGCCCAAAAATATCGACGAAAAACGGATAAAATAAATAAACCCAATATCTAAAAAGTGTAATTCGCACAGCAAACCAGTCGCGAACGCGTCTCACAAATTATGAACTAAGTAAAGGATCCGTTGCAGAAGTACTGAACACAGTTTATTGATAAATAGTAACAAGGTAAGTACACAAAACAGTTACGAAAGTTTAAAATTACGAATGTATGAAACACAAGTACGCACCCAAAGCGCGTTCATGCTGCAGCGACGCCGGCAACTGTGGACACAAGTGTCGCGGTGCCGAAACAACCTGTCTTATATACCTGATATGAAGAGATGAGTTGCCCGATGGCCGTTGCCCAGACCCAAAACAAGGTTGTGTCACGCACACAATATACTTTGAGGCGGGAAACCGGTAAGATAAAATTTCTCGCCCATTTCTCAATGAAGCGGTTAAAACCGTGCTTCATATTTTAAACTCCTTTATCTCTTTTATATAGTAGTTTCTTTATCCTGTGGTGTTTTAAATCGTAATATTTAATAAATTTACTAAGCTAAAGATACACCCACAACTATTCACTATTTTATCTTTATACGGCTTGATCACGAAATAATAACTTTTCTCTTCTTCAAGAAAACCATTTTTATGAATACCAGCGTAAACTAGCAGTTTAAGGCTGGTGTGTTTCGTATGGTGAGTGTAGAGAACCAGATACCCATTTTAAGTCCTCACGGGTAACAACGCAATGAACCCTGCTCAAAGTTCAAAAACTTTATTAAACTAAGTTTGTATAAAAAGGGTTATTATAATATTAAAGAATTTATGGATGATAATAACCCATTGAAATTAGGTGATCGCTACCAAGTTATTTCTAATTTGTTGTGTAACATACATGATTGTAAGCTGTTATTTTAAAAAAAAGTCCCGCTGCGTTTTTTGCTGGTTCTTCCCAGGACAGAAGTTTTTTTCGAACCAGTGGTAATTAAACAAAGGAGTGACTTTCAATAAGTATTATTTATAATCTATATTGAATAAAAAAGTTTCTGTTTCTGTTTGTGTTTCAACCACATTAGTAATGATTACACTGCGTTACGAGGGTGACACTGAAAGTTCTTAGAAAATCAAAAACTGAACAAAGTAGCAAGTTATTAGTTTTATTATATGTTTTCAAAATAGTGTCGATGGAACCACTGAGAAAAGCACTTTGCTCATTCGTCTTTAGGGGTCTTTTCGACGGCATTTTGAAACGAAGCCACTGCTTCCTCGGCGTCTATAAAACGTTTTCTTCGAAGTTTTTCTTTTATTTTCGGAAATAAATAAAAATCGCAAAGTTCGAGGTCGGGGCTATAGGGCGGGTGACCCAGTAATCCGACGTCTGACGTCGTCAGGTAGTCGATTGTTTGCTTGGCGGTGTTTGACAAGGCGTTGTCGTGGTGAAGGGGGATCCTACTGCGAGGTTGTTTCTCTCGAACTCTTTCCAAGACAAGTGGCAAACAATTATTAGTCTACCACTCTGCAGTAACTGTTTTTGATCCTCTAAAACAATTGTTGCGTAATGAACTGTCCTTTCCCACGCTTCAATCTCTCTTCACTTTAGTTGGCAACTCCTCGGAAGGAAACACCCAGACAGCAGACTGTCTTTTAGTTTCAGGATCATAACAATAAATCCAGCTTTCGTCCCCCGTAAGTATGTCGAACACAGCATTTGAGTCACCTCCGTTAAATCTTTGAAACATTTCACGACACCAATCAACACGACGAAGTTTTTGGGCCTCTGTCAAATTATGAGGTATCCACCGGGCACAAAGCTTCTAGACCGCTAATTGTTCATGGAGGATTTTGTGCACTTGACTCGTACCGATGCCTAAGTTTGTCCAAATCTGCTGATAAGTCACTCTTTTGTCAGTCTCTATCATATGCCACACAACACTGATGTTATTTTCAGTCGTTGCCGTAGAAGGCCGTTCCTCACGCAGATCATCGGTGTGATTAGTGCGACCACGTTTAAACTCATTAAACTAGTTTTAAACAATGGCACGAGATGGGGCTTCATCGTGAAAGGCCAATCGAAGTCTATCATAACTTTCTTGTTGACTTAAATGACATCGAAAGTCCTAAAAATCATTCTACGAAAATTTTCTCGTGTAAAATTAATGCTCACGTGACACAGACAATTTTCAATTTGCCGCCAAATCATCAACAAATGACAAATTAATAAAATACATACACAATAATATTGGCAGAGTTCCATTTTTAAAATTTGAACTTATTTTTTTATTATATCGTTTACAAGTGGCCAGTTCTAAAAAATTTCAGTGTCGCCCTCGTATGTTTTATTTATTAATTTTATTTTATCGCTGCGTTGTTGCTATAGCATCAGCAGTAAGTAATTTGGAATAAATTTAGCATGAAATATGTTTAAGAAATTTTGTCATTTTATTTCGTGATATAGTGGATAAAATATTACAAACTTGCTGTATTTTACATATAAATTATATCAAAGTTTAGTAAATACCCGAAAATTTTTTAATTAAATAATATTAACATAATTATCCATTTTGAAGCACTTAATAACAGTATTTTAAATTTAGGCAAAGTTGTGCTCCTCCATTCTTACGTTGTTATAATGTTATCTTTTCTTAGCTTAGTTTGGTGACGGCGCAAAAACATCTATCATATCATTTCGTTCCGGGGGAGGCAACTGTGGGAAACCCCAGTACAATCTTACGGCTTTCTATAACTATGTAATGATATATAGCTAGGTACACGGTTGTTTTACCAAACATTAAAATGACCATACTTACTTATATTTATTTATTTATTTAAGTATTCTTTATTGTGTTACACCTTAATCTAAGGATTACAATGGGCGGACTTAATGCTATATGGCATTCTACTAGTCAACCCTGATAGAAGTGTCAAAAAATGTTACAATTACTAGACATATATTGTATATAAACAGAAAATATATTCGTATGAGTTCTAATAATACATATATAAAAATAAAATAAATTATGAAAATATTAAATAACAATATATATAATAAATAATATAATAAATACTGTATATATAATATATAAAATAACTAAAAATAAAAATAGAAATCGACGGTCAAATGCATGTATTGTATATATCGTAGTAGCGGCAATGCATCCGCATTTTTATCATAAATTGAAGATAATTGTGGATTTTTTTTATAGGATAGGGTGACAAACGAGCACACAGTCCACCTGATGGTAAGTGGTTACTGTGACCCATAGACATCTACATCTATCCTCAATAAAGACTCAAGATGCAGATGCGTTGTCGCCTGTGAGGACTAAGATGGAATGCCTCTTTGCCAGTAAAAAGGGTCTCCGGTTCTCTACACTCACCATAAGAAACACAGCAGCGTTAAGCTGCTATTTTACGTTGGATAAATGTAGATGTGTATTGACCACAGCATCAGGTGAACTGTGTGCTCGTTTGTCACCCATATTCTACAAAAAAGTTAAAGTTGGGATCCTAGATAGATATATATTTTTCTTTTACGTACCTAATTGAGCTTCCTGTATTCGCATCCAGGAATTTAAATAGAAGTGCAACAACCAATAAACCATGAAGAACATTATTAATTAATGCATACCTAAAACGATTAAACTACTATATAATCACTTGGATCAGACAAATATAATTTTGCAATTTCAAAATAAACGTTTATAAAATGGAAATTAAGAATAAAAGATGTATTCAAAAAACCTAGACTGTTAGGCAAGGCATCAACCAAAGCGAAGCGGAGATGAACAATTATATATGAGTCCGTTTAACTTGTTGTAGATAAAAAATATATAAAATAATTGTTAAAATTATGATTGACTTGTTAAATCAACTTAAAACCGCGTTGCTTTTTAATTATCATCTATACAAATAAATAAATTTGAAGTGTCTGTTTGTAATATTAAAATAACAGATTTTTACTGGATGCATCTGAAAGTATTTACGGAACTTATAACAAAAATTTTTTTTTTAAATTATTGTCTGTCTATAGTCTGTTTGTTCCGGCTAATCTCCGAAAGGTCTGAACCGATTTGGACGGGATTTTCACTGGTGCTATGTTATAAGTAGTAACTTAAGCTACTTTTATTTTAGTAAAAGAATTAGGGTTCCGCGCAAAAAAAAATTATAACACAAAAAATGAAATCCAGTCATAACAAATTCCACGCGGGCGAAGTCGCGGGGAATAGAATATTGAATAAAACTACTTTTAGGGATTTTGTCGCGTTTCATTTAACTTATTTTTAATTCCCGACGTTTCGGCTGCTTTGCAGTACCCATGGTCACGGGCGACTGAGGTGATTGACGTCCCGATGTCAGAGTTAACCCGGAGTACCTTCAGCTTTTTAATTATTGCTTTTGGTCCTTCCGATCTACGCAGAATGAGCTAGGGTTTAGTTTTAATTTTATTAATTACAAGAGCCCCAGCAGGTGATACCCAGCCTCCCTCTATATTGAAATTAGGATGTTTTTTAATTTCAATAGCCTAGCGTATCATCCTTGGCAGTAATCGATGTTCTTTCGCGAGAATTTGTGCTTTATCAAATATAATGTAATGGCGGGGGCCGTCTTAGATATGATCACAAACTACAGACTTCCCGGAGCGTTAGTGTTTTACTTCAGCTATGTGTTCTTTTACGCGGGTTTTTATGGATCTTTTTCTATGATATACTATATAATATGTAAAAGTAGTTTTATGCGTAAATATAAGATATCATTATTTTTAATTCACAAAACAATAATTTCATATGTAAACAAATTGTCCGTTAGATAGGTCCATCTTCCACCGAGATATCAACCAACGGACCCTATTCGGCTGGGCAGCTCGGTTCGGTATATTGCGACACGTCTCGTCACGTAATCCATTAAAATTGAATACAAGAGTGTACACTGTACTGTCAGTTCGTGTTGTTAGCGATAATATATGCATCTGAGTCGTGGTATTCACTGACTACGATATGAGGAATCTATGGAAAGGGTTATGCTAGAAATTTCTTTGTGTGATTGACTTCGTATTAAGGTATCCGCAGTAGAACCGGAAAAACTAACATAGACCAACGGATTAGTAAATAGAAGTGGTGGAATTATCTAGTTAAACAATGTATCGTAAGTAAAATCATCATCATCAACATCATTACAGCTCTTCACAAGTCCACTGTCGAGCACAGGCCTCCCACAAGGAATGCCACAAAGCACTGTCCTTTGCCAATTTGTCCGCCGACTTCCTCCATAATTTACCAGGTTGTTTACTAAGTAAACA